ATCAGGCCTCATATTGTCAACCATCTAGGGAACAGGTCTAGAAACCAGATCAAGGAGAGGGAGTGACGACTCTCCCTTGCGTCCCACATACCAACCCCCCCCCCCCCCACCCTCTCCGCCTCGAACATGAGAACTGCAGAAGAAGGTTCGGACCATCCGACTCTGTTTTCGTCTGAACCTTATTGCGAGAGGTGAGACAGAGAGAAAGAGGGAGAGGGGGAGGGGGAGAGAGAGCGAGAGCGAGAGAGAAGAGGCAGAAGAGGCTGAATTAGGGGGGCGGAACTCGATTTCAAGAAATCGTGAATCATGTAGCCTCCAAGACTTGTAAATATACCTTGTCTAGCATCCCCTCTCCCTCCGCGGCGACCAGGGGCGGTTCCGACTCCAGACCCCCAAGCGCCTTGAGGCGGCACTTGTGCACCAAGACTTGATTTCCTCCATTCCCTTGACACACACGAACCGCCATCCCCGCAGGGTGGGCCTGGGTGAACTCGACTTTGTCCAAGCGCCTCTCTCCCGGAAGGATACCGTGATCGATGGGGGATGTTCCTGGAGGCCCACGGCACAGTCTACACATGACCTCCTCTCTACCTCAAGAGGTGGGGATGGTGGTCCACAATGGGACTTCTCGCAAGTGGGAGAGAAAGAAAAAGCCAGGAGGTCAGTGGGGGGGGGGGAAGGGTAGACTCGCATGCGTCTTTTCCTCCTTCTTTCCTCTCTAGCCACTTTTGCGGGTTTACGTTCTCGTGCTAGAGGTGGTGTGTGAGGGTGATGTTATTACAAGGTTGAAAGGAAGGGAGGGGAATCGTTGGAAGATCGTGAAAGGGGGCGGCGAGGAGTGGGTGGGGGTCGGCCTTCTTTCTTGATTTCACTTCTTCTTGCCGAGCTTGGCGATGGCGGCCTTCTTGGCGTCGGCTTCGGCCTTCTGCTTCGCTTTGAAAGCAAGGTCCTGGTTGAGAGAACGATTTGGAAGGAATTGTCCCAAGGGGAGAAGGGGGGGGGGGGGGGTGGTAAAAGAAGGTTAAGAATGGTTGGAAAGGGGTGGATTTGTCGTTGCGATTTTATTGAAAGTCCAGTATCAGTTCCGGCTACGTTCGATAACGATGGTGAACACAGCTTCATGAAGTTTCTTCCCCCCCGTCCCTTTTCTCCCATCCTCCTTCCTACCTTCCCCGTTCCCTATTCCTAGAAAGAGAGCGACCTCCGCACCGCTTCCATCAAACACTCTGGAACTTGGAAAGGATCGAAGGGACCGTAGGTTGTACCATGGGTCCGATTACGAAGATCAGGATTCTTGGATGTGTGTCTCCCTCTCCGAAAAAATTGCCTCGTCCCATTGACCTCTGACCTCTCTTCTCCTCCAAAACCTCCCCCCCCCCCTCTTCACACGTATGCTCCCCAGACCAAACGGAGCGGCAAGAAACTCACTTCCTCGTCGAGCTCCTTGGCAACCTTTTTGGGCGCCTTGAGAGGCTTGGCCTTTCCACCTTGACGTCCGGACATTCTGTTGGAGAGGAAGGAGGTTCAAAAAGGAGAGGGGAAGGAGGGGGGATCAAAAAAACAACGAGGAACGGCTGATTTGAGCATTCGATTCGATCGTAAACGTTTTTCAAGCTAGCCCAGAGGCACCCATTCAGTCGTGCCTCCTCCTCGGGTGATTTCCCCTATCCATCCTTTCCACCTTGCGATCAACGCCTTTCTCGGTCGGTATGAGCCCCCTAGCGCCTGATTGTGTGCGTGTGTGTGTTGGAGTCGAAACTTTGGAGAACCTTCCCTAGTCTTCTCCAGCTCAGGACCAAATAGGGGTTTCGGATCCTCGCCTCGGATCAAATGACCTACCTTTCTGTATGGGTCTTTGCAGACGAGGTTGAAGAGTACTGTATGTGCAGGCTACGTGAGAGGGAAGCGGAGGTTGTCACCAGAGAGTGGTTGTGGGTTGGCAAACTTGTGGCGATGGGTGGTGTCGAGGTGGTGAGATAGCTTCCTCCTTTCCGTTCCTTTTTTTTTTTTTTCTTTTTTTTTCACCACAAGAACAAAATTCCCACCTCCATCAACCCTTTACCCAACGCTATCATCTCGTTTCTTCAGTTTGGCGCATTCCAGATTGCAATCGGGACGGAAGATCGGCGATTTTTTATTAAAAGGTCAGAGTTTTTCGCTCCCCACCTTGGAAGTTTGGGAGGGGAACCGTGCACACTCGAAAATACGGGTGGCGTAAAAAAAAACAACCGGACGACGCACGAAAGTAGTCGAGTGAAAGAGAAAGAAATGGCGCAACATTTCCAAGGGAAAAGGAAGAAAAAATGGGCAAAAAGAAGACCAAAATCATGCGTAATCCAGGCCTATTTCTGTTAAACGATTCAATGTCCTTTTTCATTGCATTCTGCTTGTTTCCAAAGCCTTCTGGAGGATGAAGGTCGGGGAGGGGGGAGGGGAGGGGGAATGAGAGTAGAGGAAGACATGGCGGGGAGGGGAAACAGCTATGTGTACACTTTCAGTCTTTTTTTTTTTTTTTTTTTCCACCCTCTTCCTTTCCTCTCTCTCTTCGTCCCCTTCCACCTTCATTCTCTACCATCTTCGTCCAATCCATCCTTTGGTCTCCACCGTCTTCGGTAACTTATCTCGAGCTGTCAGGCTTTTTTTTTTTTTTGGTTTGTTTTTTGGGTCATCCATTTTTTTGTTGTTGAAAGGGTGAAGAAGTGGGATGGAGCAAGGTAGGGTAGTGGAAGGGAGGAACGAGCTAACACTGGCACGACGGGAAACCAAGCCCATCTTCCAGCCCGGCTAATGGAGTCAAGCCTTTGGGCGCGCGGCGCTGGGATGGAGCTCGCGCATCGAACGGGGAGAATGACCGCAATCTCATCATGCTAGCTACTGAACCGTCCTCAGCGAGCGTAGTATCGGTTTCCCGACTCTGTCCTATCATGCTGGTACCTGTCGTCCTGATACCTTTCCTCCTCCCTGCGTTCATCACTGTAGTACGATTGGCCACCATGAGGGCTCATGGGGGGAGAAGCTGGGTAATCGCGGTCTAGCGGAGCGCCTCCAGCAGCGGCACCTCCAGCGTTGTGGTACGGCCTGGAAGAAGCGTAGTACTCGTCCCCCCTGGGCTCCCACACTCCCGAATCTCGAGGCGCGAGAGGGATGTCGTCTCCCGGTCCGTTAAAGTTCTTGAACCTCCTGGCCGCCTCCCGCTGCTTCTGGCCGTAGGACCTTTGGGCGTAGCACATGTAGAGCTGGGTGACACCCATGAGGACGATCAGCCCGCCCATGACGCCGATCTGGACCCAGATGAAGACGTTGCAGATGTCCCTCCCGGAACCGTCCAAGGCCGAGGTCGCCTGACTGATTGCCAGGCCCGAGCCGTCTCCAGAAGGGGTCGATCCAAACTTGGCGACACACGAGTCGAGGGCGGTCGAGTGCCTCACCGCCGAGACCGCAAAGAATGCTAGGGCGCTGACGATGGTGATCAGCGTGAGGATCAAGTTGATCCGGATGTAGGTCCTGTACATTGCGGTCGACTGCCTGATGATGGAGAAGAGGCCGAGGGTCTGCCAGAAGAAGGTGATCAGGCCGAGAGCGGCGATGAGTCCCTTGGACCATGAGGGTATCGCGCCCATGGTCGCCACGATCGAAGGAGGCACCAGCGCGAGGATGGCGACGACGAGCGAGACGAAAGCTGCTTCAAGCACGAGAAAGTAGGCACCCGCGTTGACGAGCGGCACAGCCTGTTGGGAATGAGGAGGTGGCGTTTCGAATCCCGTAGAAGAAAGAACGGGCAGGCATGTCAGCAAGGAGCAGAGCTTTGGACAAGATTGGTATCTGAACGATCCGCATGGAAAGTATCCTATCCACCTTACATCCACTGGAATCTCTCTTCAGAGTGCTTCACACTTACGCAGCAACAAAATTCCATCCCTCTCCCTCTCCCCATTGTATGCTATTTGTCGGAATTTGACGGAAGGGAGTGCTTCTTTCCTCGTGTGTGTGCCCTTCTCACGTGGAGGGAGAACGACTGCGAGTTGAGATCGAAGCGTTTCAGTCTTTTGCGGTGAAGATTTCGGATCAGACTTGCGAGCTCGATCCTTTGGTCGGTCGTCACTCTTTCAAATGAGACGGAAAGTGTTGACAGAGGTGGTGATCAAGAACTATGTGTGGAGGCAGAGCCAGCTCGCCACCGAGGAAACCTGATAAGGTGGTAGAAAGAAGTCGAACAGCCAGAGCTTGCTTTTTCTCCCTTTGATCCCAGTCTTTCTCTAGAGACGATGTGTGTTGTGTGAGTGATGGAAGGAGTGAAGATGGAGAAGGGAAATGGAGGAGGGGAAGGTGAAGGAGACAAGGAGTGGGTCGTGAAGAGGAGGTTCGGTCTTTCATGATGAATGAGGGATGAGTGAGGGGGGGCCTGAGGGCATCGCGATCCAAGAGTCGAAGTGAGAATAACAGTAACATCTTCAAATTTAGCCTTGTTCCTTTGACTACTCAAGTAGATTGCTTGTAAAAACTACTTCAATCTTGAGCCTTGTTTATGTACGACTTACTCCAGTAAGTGTGGGTACAAACCAAGGCTGTGCCCCTTTAGAGGGTGGCCTCTCGTAAATATTATTTTCCTCGGCCAACAAGATTTTATTTTCCGTTTCCTCATACTTATCCAAGGATTAATCAAACCAGTCGGTGTGTATGAATGCGAATACTGTCCTCGGCAGTCGGCACCTTCCCCCTCTTCTTGGCTTTGGTTGCCGAGGCGTTTCTTACTCCTTCTCTTCCAACCCAACCTTTTGCTTCCGCTTTCTTTGGAGTTACGTCTAAAACGAAGGCAAAGAAAGACATGAAGATAACGCAGGAGCTGAAGGATACGTATTGAACCATCAGATAACGTTATTCGACTCCTCTAAAAACAAATACAGGTCTTCGGTGCAGTGTATCGGTCTCTCTCTACCTATCCTTGATATACATTGCTCTCACTTGTGGGTGTAAGAAGATCCTCATGGTTCAATTGACATGCAGGCATCGTATAGTGGTTATTACACTTCGTTGTGGTACATGAAGCGTAACCCGAAGAAACGGATGTTCGATTCCTCCTGCTTGCATATTTTTTTGCGCGTCTGTCGTCGTATTTTTTCTTTCAACTCTTTTCCCTTAAATCTTAAAAATATGGTGACAAACTCGACCAATATTTGCCCAACTCAAGCAGGCTTCGTATAGTGGTTATTACACTTCGTTGTGGTCATCAGAGGCTCCGAAGAAACGGATGTTCGATTCCTCCAGCTTGCACTATGATTATCTTCATTTTACCAGTTGCCATCTGGGATTTTTTTTTCTTTCCTTATCCTCTTTCTCCCCTGATAAATTTCCTTACCCGATCCAAGGATCGATTTTGTCTTCTAGCATTCGAGGAGGGGATGGAGTTCATGCGCACCTCACACCTTTGTTCCACCGAGCTGTGTGACTGCCTGACTCGTGGCTTGATACTTGACGCCTTGCTCGCTTCATGGAATGGGAGGGTGTAGCGTTTGGATGAAGGAAGGTGATCGGTGGCTTCATGTGGGTCTTGACTCTGGTGTTCTTGCTCTGTTGCCGGCTCTCTCTAACGTGTTTCCGTGCGAGAGAATCAGAAACTGCGCAAAGCCAACTTGAACGACTCAATCCAGGTTGTTTCTGCAGTGGGAACCCGACTCGTCTTGTAGGCCATGCACAGACAGCATGAGCGCACCGAGGCTGCTCATTTGACTGCCATGTCTCATATCACAACCCCATCATCTCTCATCTCATTTCTCATCATTCATCCTTCTCCCTCTTTTCGTCTCCCTGCCTCTTCTCTCTCTCTACATCGGTTTCTTCCTCCTGTCCTATCTGCTCCCGCCGCCCTCGCCCTAGTTCCCTCCATTTCCTCACGCCATATCATACACCAGACCATAATTCGACTGTCCGCCTTCCGGGGAAAGAAAAGACGTTTCCTCCTTCCCTTTCGTTAGGAAAGGTGGAACCAAAAGGCTCATCGCAATCCAGCAAGGCTCTCACGCCGGTTCGAAACCTGGACGACGATCGAACGTCATCTCCACTACCGCCGACAAGAAGACCCCTCAGGCAGTGGTCTCAAACGGACAACTAGAGCCAGCTACAAAGGAGAAAGAGAACAATGTCGTCCTTCTTCCAAAAGCAGCAGCAGGTCGCCGCCTTGGACCCTCGACTCGGCGGTCTCATGGCAAGCGCCGGCTTGTACAACCTCAAGGCCCTGATCAAGGCGATTCGGTCCTGCAAGACGCTCGCAGACGAGCGATCCCTGATCCAGAAGGAGTCGGCCGCCATCCGAACCGCTTTCAAAGATGAGGATCCCTTCTCGAGGCATAACAACATCGCAAAGCTCCTCTACATCCACATGCTCGGCTACCCCGCTCATTTTGGTCAGATCGAATGCTTGAAGCTGGTTGCCACCCCAAGGTTCACTGATAAGCGGTTAGGATATCTCGGTATCATGCTCTTGCTGGACGAGAACACTGAGGTGCTCACTCTTGTCACCAATGGCTTGAAAAAGTGAGTATTCACCAGGGATCGGCATCCTTGTCTTCAACCTGTTCATCGCCATTCACTCCTTCACACTCATCTCTCCCCCACGTCTTCGGGTTACTCCAGCGACATGAACCACTCCAACATGTACGTGGTTGGACTTGCACTCTGCACTTTTGCCAACATCGCTTCCGAGGAGATGTCCAGGGACCTCTGCAACGAGATCGAAAAGCTCATGGGCAGCAGCAATACGTACATCCGGAGGAAGGTGAGCCAGCTCATAAATGAAAGGACCCATGCTCAGATCAAGCTGCGATCGGACTTCGCACGTTGGCCTGAATGCTTCAGCCAGGATTCGCGAGGCAGGAGAGTCGCTCACCAGACTTGAACCCCAACCCTCCTCTCCCATCTCAGGCGGCTATCTGTGCGATGAGGATCGTTAGAAAAGTACCAGATCTCCTCGATCACTTCAGCGACAGGACAAAGCAGCTTCTTTCGGACAAGAACCATGGCGTCCTACTTTGTGCGGTTACTCTTGCGATCGAGATCTGCAAGGCGGATGAGGAGGCTCTCTCGGAGTATCGAAAGGTGAGCCTAACACTAAGCTTGTGTGTGACCTGACCATGGCTTTTCGTGTTGCTGATTGCTGGGCTCGCTCCTTGCGACCTCTTTCTTCCTCTCACGTAGGCCGTTCCTCTTCTTGTTCGTCACCTCAAAGCATTGGTGACAACCGGCTATTCTCCTGAGCACGATGTTTCGGGCATCACAGACCCCTTCCTCCAGGTCAAAATCCTACGTTTGCTTCGGATCCTTGGAAAGGACCATCCTCAGGCTTCGGAGGCGATGAATGACATCCTGGCTCAGGTCGCAACAAACACCGAAGCAAGCAAGAACGTCGGAAATGCAATTCTGTACGAGACTGTGCTCACAGTGCTGGAGATTGAGGCTGAGAATGGCCTGAGAGTGATGGCCATCAACATTTTGGGAAAGTTTTTGGGCAACAGGGACAACAACATTCGGTAAGTTTGGATTGAGGCATGCTTCTTATTTTCTCCAGAACAAGGCTAAGCCCGACAAATTTTTAACATATCCTCGCGTTTTGAACACTTGATTGGTCATCGATTCGCAGGTACGTTGCACTCAACACGCTCAACAAGGTCGTAGCCATGGACACGAATGCTGTTCAGCGCCACCGAAACATTATCCTCGACTGTCTGAGAGATGGTGATATCTCCATCAGGAGAAGGGCGCTGGAGCTCAGCTACGCTCTGATCAATGAAAGCAATGTCAGGGTTCTGACAAGGGAACTGCTCTCGTTCTTGGAGGTCGCCGATAACGAGTTCAAGCTTGGTATGACCACTCAGATCTGCTTGGCTGCGGAAAAGTTTGCTCCGAACAAGAGGTGGCACATTGACACGGTGCTGAGGGTGCTCAAATTGGTGCGTTTGCGTTCGATGGCTGCCGCCATGAGTAGCGTCGGGAAGGTATCTTCTTGGACTCCCCTCCTTGACATGGCTTGTGGAAAAACTGATCCGGATCCTCGTTCATCTACCTCTGCAGGCCGGCAACTATGTTCGAGAAGAGGTCCTTTCTGCGTTCGTCCGCCTCGTCGCCCACACTCCTGAGCTGCAAGCGTACACGGTGCAGAAACTCTTCTCCGCCCTCCATGCGGACTTTTCCCAAGAGTCTCTCACCCTTGCGGCGGTCTGGGTGATCGGAGAGTTCGGAGAGGTCCTTCTGCAAGGTGGCAACTTCGAAGATGAAGAGCTTGTCAGGGAGGTGAGTTGGCTTTCATCCCTCACTTGATCCCTCCGTAGATGCCGCTTGCGCTTACTAACATCCTTTCACCCCATACACAATCGTTGTGCGTGGCCCGCAACTGCAACTATGGTTCGCTCAGGTTCAAGCAAAGGATGTCGTCGATCTGCTATCCTCTGTGCTCGATTCGCCCTACGTCAATGAGCACATACGCCAATTCGTTCTCACCGCCCTGGCCAAGCTTTGTACCCGATTCCAGAACGACCCGGCGCAGCAGGCGAGGATAGAGCAGCTGCTGACCAAGTTCGACCAGAGCATCGAGGTCGAGATCCAGCAACGGGCCGTGGAGTACGTGAACCTTTTGCGGAGAAAGGACATAAGGGACGGGGTCTTGGAGAGTATGCCACCTCCGGAAATCAGGCAGACCGTCCTTGGGACCGTCTCTGAATCCAAACCGGTCGGGTCCACCCGGAGCGACAAGGACTCGCTCCTCGATCTGATGGGGGACGAGATGCCCTCAGGCACCAACGCCCAGGCTTCTCCCCTCAACGGGGGTGGCGCGGCGAGAGTCCAACAAAGCACGCACGACCTTTTAGCAGACATCTTTGGCGCCTCAGACAGCTTGGCTTCTTCCACACCAGCTGGAATCCAGGCGACGCCGGCGGCATCCAAGGCCAAGAGTTCGGTGAACGACATCCTTGGCCTCTTTGGAGATTCTGGCTCTTCTCCCGCACCTTCTTCGACGGCAGCACCGGTATCGAACAACAGCTCTTCCTTCGGCGGTCTGGACCTTTTGGGGGGAGACGCTGTTCCTCCCCCTCCCCTTGTCGGCGCTGCAGCTGCCACAGCCTCCCCCTCGTCGGCGCAACCTCCTTCGACGACTCAGGCACCTGGTGCCAAGGCTCACACCGCTTACGAAAAGAACGGACTCTTGATCACCCTCACACCCACCGTGAACCCGGCAAGACCCGACATCACCAACGTCACCGCCAGGTTCACGGCGACAGGCTCTTCCGAAATCCGGTCGATCAACTTCCAAGCTGCTGTCCCAAAGGTTCGTCGATGTTTCTTCCGCTCCCCCCTCTCCCTTTTCCACCCTGAATGCGGAGTCGAATTTGCTGATTGTTGGAATGACTTCACCTCGACCTTGACGTGTTGCGATGGGGTAAAAAATTTCAAAAACCACAGAGCCAAAAACTTCAGATGCAAGCGATTTCCAAACCGGACGTCGCTCCGGGGTCGACCGAGACGCAAGCCATGAGGGTCATGGCGCCAAACGGGGTAAGTTTCAAGCTCCCTTCCTAGTCAAGGAGTCTACTGCTGTTCTCGGAAAAAAAAAAGAACCACCGTTGTCCGCCCATCTTCACTCAGCAGAAGTCCACTAATCTGTTCCCTTCTTCTCTCCCTCGCAACCATATTCACGAACAGGCTCAGATAAGGCTTCGACTGAGAATAAGCTACGCGATTGGAGAGGCGGTTCAGGCTATACAGGATCAGGTCGATTGGTCGCAGCCGACTGCGTGAGATTCTCTGGAATCGAGAGATCTGGAAGGCTTGGAGTCGGACAGACGGTGCTGGAGTGGGTTCCCTGCTTGTACGGGGCGAAGGGTTTGGAGTTTGGACCGAAATCTGTACGCTCGAGCTCGTGTGGGTCTTGGCTCGGAAATCGTTCCTCTTGCGGTCCACCCTTTTCCCCATTGGCCTCCTGACATGAGCAATCCTACGATCGTAAACCGTTTTCGTCTATCCCGACCAAATTGTGCGCAAGGTTTCGCGACTTTCCCTTTCCCCCCTTCTCCCCATTTTTTTCTGTCTTTCTTTCTTTCTTTCTTTTTTTTTTTTTTTGCCTGTGGTCGGTTACGGATGTCGAGATGCGTTTTGTCCTTTTTCGTTGCGTATGATTCTGGGATTTCTACTTTCTTCTTTCTCTCTTGGAAGCAGAGCATCCTGGGACTTGCGCGCGGACTTGGGAAGCAAGAGGTGGAGACTCTGGGGTCTCAAGGACGGGC